AGTAAATTTCAATATTAATGCTATGCACGAGGCTTGTGTCAGCGCGGCTTTTGCTGAAGTGCGCACACAACTGGTAACAGCAGCGAAAACCGATGTAAAGCCGGCTCGAAGCGGCGAAAACTGGAGTAAAGTATCGTATTCAGACTTCATTTCAGTGTTGTATCCATGATTGCAGCGAAAAAACACATATTGCTCGTGTTAGAGCAACATGTGCTGACGTCTGCAAATTCTTTACCCCGATCAGTGAGCCTTTGATATTCTACATATGCCGCAAATAGCAATTGATTTTAAGAAATTACTTTATTATCGACAGATATGAGCGAAAAAGAAACAGCTGGGCGAGTTCTTAGCCTTAAAGTTCAAGTTTTACTTGCATTTCAGATCTTTAAAATTTTTAATAATATATTTCCGGAATTTGTAAATTTGCACCATCTCGTAAGCGATTGGCTGTTCGATGAGTAACTTAAGTATTCAATACCAGAAGTAAACCGTAAAATGCCAGCGTACCTTGACATAAATCGGGAATGAAAGATGACGTTCAACCAATAGGAGTAAGTTTATACGATACCTTAATGGTTGTATTGTAATCTTGAGATCCAGTGAAGGGAATATATAATCATCAAGAAAACAATGTAAAATATCGACTGGCACGATATTTTACTTTTCTAATACTTTGACAAATTCTTTCACGACAGTTAAATATATATATATTGAAGAAATGTAAAATGGTTTCCGTGTTCACATAGCCTGATGTAAACACGCGGGAGGTTGGGAAAACACGAGATAAGCGTAGGAAACCACGACGCGAAGCGGAGTGGTTTCCAGCTTGTCGAGTGTTCTCCCAACCTCCCATGTTTATCTCCTAGAATCCATTTCAGAAGTATTCTGATTAGCAAGTTTTTGTACATTAAGTGGCCCATTATGATAAAATTAGCATTTTTTATCGTTTTTTTTTTTCATTAAAACCCTATTATGTGGGCATAGGGTAAAATATGGACTGGACCATTTTTTGGACCATTTTTTGGACCATTTTTTGGACTATTTTTTGGACCATTTTTTGGACCATTTTATAGGGGGGAAGCACACCATTAGTACTCAGGGAGGGGTGGGATACAGTATACTAGTACTGAGGGAGGGGTGGAAGGCAGAGTGTTATTACTCAGGGAGGGGTGAGAGAAGGACTATTGCTAGGCAGGGAGAGGTGGGAGGTGGATATAATAGTAAACACTACTTGTTAATGTGGCTTTTACTCGATCGTACAAATTATCTTCATCGGTTTTTTGACTGACTTTTTGAATGTTCTTCATTTTTGTCGTCCTGCGAAAGCGAAACTGCCACGTGAACACTGGACTTTGATTTCTATTGAAAATATTGCGTTTAAGATCCTCTACTGTTGAGTTATGCCTGTGCCTTTTGAGTCGACTTGTGTACCATCAGTTGCTTCACGTTTCCCTTTGTGTATACAGTGTGTAATTACTAAATTTATCTGTCTTCCTTTTGTCATTCATCTTATCAGACGAGATCACGAAATTTCCGGTCCTTAGCCCTTAACTTAGCAGCATATAGAATTCACGAGCGCTTTTGCAATTTCAACGTTTATACGTTTACTATATGAAATAATCAGCAAACGATTTCGAAGAGGAATCCATATTCTCGAATCGAGCAAAAGCACTGCTGTACTTGTAGTATGGGAAAGCGCAAATATCGATTTCATCTGTTTCGCAAACAAAGGAGTTAATCTCCCACACCGGAAATAGCGACCATGCATTCCTCACTACTCCCGTACGTTTGTTTTCCAATTTGTCCGGGCCACTGCCAATCACTTCTTGTGTAAAAACCTACGTAACCTGCTAAGTGGAAGTACAATGGCTACTGTTGCTTACCGATATTTTCCGTCGGCAAAACGTAGAAGTCAGTAAATGTGACCGATTCTGCCCGGAAAATTTTATTATCTGGAGCTTGGATATGTCAGGAGAGTTTCATTGACAGCTGGATTAACTGCACCCCGTGTTGTGAAACCATTATAAAGACATCGCGCTTTCCTCCGCTTTTTTTTGTCACATACTAAAGGGAAACGTGAGGCAACTGAAAGATGATTCATGCTAAACCGTCGGTATCACTTTGCACTGGCACAAGTCGACCTAACAGGCACAACGCATATCTTAATAGTGGAGGATCGAAAACAGGAATGGAATTGGTGATATTTTCAATGACAATTATAGTCTAGTGTTTAAGTGCCAGTTTAGCATTCGCATTACAAAAGATTAAAGAAACGCTACGGCCCAGCGCAAAATTTTGACATACAAATAATCTGTCGAAAAGCCGCTCAAAATAATTTGTATGATTCAATGAACACTCCATAAATCAGTCGCAGTTACCAGTGTATCAACTTCCCACCCCTCCCTGCGTACTAGTACTTCTTTCTCCACTAGTAGCAACAGTCTGCCTACCATCCCTCCCTGAGAACTGAGAGACTGCATCCCACCCATCCCTAAGAAGTAATGTTCTGCCTCCCCCCCTATAGAAAAAATAGTCCATATTTTACCCTACGCCCCTAGGCAGAGGGTAAAATATGGACTGGACCATTTTTTTGGACCATTTTTTTTTGGGGGGGGGAAGGCTAACCATTAGCAGGGGTCGGTGGGATGCAGTCTATCAGCATTCAGGGAGGGATGGTGGAGGACGAACTATCAGTACGCAGGGAGGGGTGGGAGGTTTATGTATGAGTAACTACTACTAATTATCGAGTGTTCATTGAATCATACAAATTGTTTTGAGCGGTTTTTCCACCGACTATTAGTATGTCAAAATTTTTGTGCTGGGTCGTAGTGTTTATTCCATTCTTGTCATGCGAATGCGAAACTGGCACTTAAACACTGGACTATAATTGTTATTGAAAATATCGCCATCTTCCACCGTTAAGTCATGCGTGTGCCTGTTTGGTCGACTTGTGCCAGTGCTAAGTGATACTCGTGAATCATCTTTCAGTTGCCTCACGTTTCCCTTTTTGTATGTGACTATGGACCTATCCGCACTAGCGACAAAATTGTTAACATCGACAAATTTTTTGTCATTACCAACACTTTACAGATGCGAATGGTTTGTCCTGACTCGACAATTTTTTGAGGCGGACAAATTTTCAAACGCACCGCCGACAAAATTCGTCCCTGTTAGGTCGACTTGTGCCAGTGCTAAGTGATACCGACGGGTTAGCATGAATCATCCTTCAGTTGCCTCACGTTTCCCTTTTTGTATGTGACAAAAAAAGCGAAGTAAAGCGCGATGTCTTCATAATGGTTTCACAACATGGGGTGTAATTAATCCAGCTGTCAATGAAACTCTCTTGACATATCCAAGCTCCAGACAATAAAATTTTCCGGGAAGAATCGGTCACATTTACTGACTTCTACGTTTTGCTGACGGAAAATATCGGCAAGCAACAGTAGCTACCGTACTTCCACTTGGCAGGTTACGTGGATTTTTACACAAGAAGTGATTGGCAGCGGCCAGAGCAAATTGGAAAACAAACGTAAGGGAGTCGCGAGGAATGCATGGTCGCTATTTCCGGTGTTGATGATTAACTCCTTTGTTTGCGAAACAGATGAAATCGATATTTGCGCTTTCCCATACTACAAGTACAGCAGTGCTTTTGCTCGATTCGAGAATATGGATTCCTCTTCGAAATCGTTTGCTGATTATTTCATATAGTAAACGTATAAACGTTGAAATTGCAAAAGCGCTCGTGAATTCTATATGCTGCTAAGTTAAGGGCTAAGGAACGGAAATTTCGTGATCTCGTCTGATAAGATGAATGACAAAAGGAAGACAGGTAAATTTAGTAATTACACACTGTATACACAAAGGGAAACGTGAAGCAACTGATGGTACACAAGTCGACTCAAAAGGCACAGGCATAACTCAACAGTAGAGGATCTTAAACGCGATATTATCAATAGAAATCAAAGTCCAGTGTTCACGTGGCAGTTTCGCTTTCGCAGGACGACAAAAATGAAGAACATTCAAAAAGTCAGTCGAAAAACCGATGAAGATAATTTGTACGATCGAGTAAAAGCCACATTAACAAGTAGTGTTTACTATTATATCCACCTCCCACCTCTCCCTGCCTAGCAATAGTCCTTCTCTCACCCCTCATTGAGTAATAACACTCTGCCTTCCACCCCTCCCTCAGTACTAGTATACTGTATCCCACCCCTCCCTGAGTACTAATGGTGTGCTTCCCCCCTATAAAATGGTCCAAAAAATGGTCCAAAAAATAGTCCAAAAAATGGTCCAGTCTATATTTTACCCTATGCCGTCTACCTTCGTCTGTGCTTTAGCACATACCATTTTTTTAACCTTCTTTTTCACTTTTCCAATCAATCCAATAAAAGTGATTAACAAGCAAATATTTTGTTATCGAAACAAACACATAACACATAGCAACTGTTTCAATTTATTGACAGCAAAAAAAACAAGAAAGGCTTTTCAAGGACACATGACGCATAACCTTAGATAAGATAGTATTCTGTTTGGCATCCGATTAAGTAGCTCGTTAGTTCATCAATATCATCATTATCGCTATTACTATGATTATAATTATAGTTCTTGATAATATTAACAACATCATTTTTAAATTCGCCGATTATGTAAACGATTTATGAAAGCATTTATTTCGTCATCTATTCATCTTTCAACTCATTAGTGTATTCATTTATATAAAAACTTATCTATTTCTTCACTGAAATAAATTTTTAATTTTATTTCGTTTTACTTTCTTTCTTCTTTTATTTATATTTCTTTATATTTCTTTTATTTATCTATTTTTTTTTTCTTAGTACGCGGCCGGTGATTGCCCAGATAATTATTACTGGAATGGAACACAATGCAGCGCATGCTCAGGCTGCCCCGTTGGGTTTGGTTTGAGGGAACCTTGCTCAAAAACCAAAAACACCGAATGTCAAGAATGCTTTCCTGGCTATGATTACTCGAACAGCACAGGAATGGAGGAGTGCATAAAGTAAGTTGGTGTTATGTCATGTTTCGCTTTATAATATTGAACACAACCTTGCACTCTTAATCTTGCTAAATAACCTGTCAAACACTTCATCCACCTTTTCCTTCTTTGTCTCAAGTGTTCTTGCATATTTTCTAATTTCGTTTCATCTACGTTGTTTCCTTTAAACTTAACTTATCATGCTATAATGGTAAATGCACAATTTTTCCCTATGGGCGAATGATTTTTCACAGCTTCTCTCTTTTGCGAACGTGACACAAGGCGAAAAGGATGCAAAGATAGACTTTCGACAAGCCTTTTGGTAAACTTTTTCAATCAAACCTTCTTTAATTGATTAGTTTTTATTCAAAGTAAATTGAATTCATTATGATATTTAAGCTTTCCACCTTAAAGGTACTGTTTTTTTCCCTTTATGGAAGGTGTGATACATACTCCAACTGTTTACCCGGACGATCTAAAAAGATAACAAATTGTACGATATATTCTGGACACACTTGCGACGGATGTGAAGAAGGATACTATCACCACCGAGGCGTTGGCTGTGATAAGTGTTCACCTAAATGTGATGCTATGACTGAGGACGAAATACAGGCATGCATAACTAGGCATGACCGCCGTTGTGTACCAAAACGAGAGTTGCCTAAAACTCCTCCTGTCTTTAGTAATGGGAAGAAGGACGGGTGTGAAGAAGGATACTATTACCGCCAAGACGTTGGCTGTGATAAGTGTTCACCTAAATGTAATGCTACGACTGAAGACGAAATACAGGCATGCACAACTAATCATAACCGCCATTGTGCACCAAAACGAGAGCTGTCTAAAACTCCTCCTGTCTTCAGTAAGTTAATTCACTTCCATTTGCTTCGATATTTGGTAATTAAGACAACTTTAGAATGATGGATTGGAAATGTTTCTCCTTCAGATGATAATCCATATTTTAAATTTGTGTGCTTAGCTCAGTTCTTGCAATTTTTGGCGCTAACTGAATGAGTTGTTTATTTGGATCTAAGCTTTCATATTTTGTTTATTTTGATTGATTTTTGTTCGCTTTATTTTTCTTTTTGAGGTAATGACTCAAAAGTTAGAGGTAATTCTAGCAGAACTGCCAATGAGGAAAAAAGCGAGATACCACAAATTGATCCTGGGTCGGTAGAATCTAAAACAGCTTGGCCACGAGAGGAAAATTCAATCGTTACCAATCTGTGGTTTTGGTTTCCACTCACGGTGATCGCACTATTACTAGTCACAGTCCCGATAAGGCGTTATAAGAGAAGAAGTCGAGTAAATCGTCCACCTCAACCAGAGGGCGATGTCGATACAGATAACACAGAGGAGAACATCGTATTGCGCGAGCAAAAGACTCCATTGATATCTGAAGGTGGTTTGGATGCTCATAACACGAGGGAAACTGTCTCTTCAGCTGAGCCACGAGTTCCTTTGAGGCCAAGGCATGAGTTAGGTGAGCTTGTGTTGCTTGTCCTCGTTTTTTCTTTTAAGGGTCGTTTTTGTATACAACACATAATTTCTTAAGTGCAGATTTTTTTATCTTGCTTGTCAGGTACTTTGCACTATGTATTTCTATATATTTAATACTTAAGGTAGTTAGTTAGTAAGTCGTTTTTATAGGGATACCCTCATTGATCTCCCTCTCCTGTACTGTATGATTTTTCAATATATTTGCATTCGAATAGTGTATTATTAAAAGATGTCTCCGCTACCAAGTTGCACACTGAAATGTAATTAAAATGACGATGAAAGTTAACGTAAAATCTTTAAAAAGTTCGAGTTACTTACTTCGTACCCGATTTTAAAAAGACTGCGAGACTACTTTTGTCAACAGTAATTGGTGAAAGTTAAATTCCTGCGACTTTATTAAAGTTTGGATGAAGAATGAAAAAGAATAACAGTAGGAGTCCGTAGTAGGACTAATGTCTTTGAGAATTATTTTTTTGTTCGAATCTGTCGCCTGTGGAATGAACTACCTCTTAGTATAAGAGAGTCAAATACCCTGTCGATCTTTCGTAAGAATTTGATGGCCTTTTATCATGACAAGTTTAATGTAGAATTTTTAATTTTACACTGTACTTAACTAAATCATTAGTCTATTTATAACAATTTTATTGATAAGCGTTCATGTCGCATGTCTTTTATAACTGACTTTTTAGATAATTTTATTACTTAATTAATTCTGTAGATGTAATGATAGATGGCTTATTTTTAAGGAGTCTTGTATTCTGTTTTAAGCATACCTCAGATTTGTCATTCTACTTGTAAATCTGAAACTTGATTAAAAATTAAACAAACAGGACCTCTAATCTGTTTTGTTGTTGAATTTTCAGAGATAAATTCAGGCAGGGTGGATTTAGAAGCTCCAAAACCTTCTTCAGAAGAAGTCAGCAGACAAGGTTTGTCTCAACAGTTCAACACGTAATTCTGTGATATGTGTGATATCGTATGCAAGTTGTCATTGCGTATACGCAAAAACGCAAATACAGTAGTTTCTTTCATTTTGTGGTGTTGCAAGCGGAATGTACGATTTGCAAGTAACAGTTTCCATGTCATCGATCTTAATTTGCAACTGTCGTGGGCAGTCGTAGGATAAGTTTGATTCACTCAGTGTGCATCTGCCACAACCCCCCCTCCCCTTTCCCAGAAACCTAGTTCCGCCTCAGAATTTTATGTCATAATCAACACTGTCACAAAATTCTCGAACATGATTGGTTATCACCAGCCTGATTTGAGCACTAATAGGACAGTGTACGCGTCATGCTTGTAATTGGACGGTGAAATAGGACAATTAAATGGACACTAATCTCTTCATGCCTGTGTAAGTGGACAGAACGCGTCATGTGTGTGCGCTGTCTCGCATTTCGCCGTTTTAACTATTGTTTTCTATTTTTTTAATGAAAACGTATGATCGATGTCAAGTTTCTTTCTCAAATTTTGTCATAGTTTTGATTAATTAGTAACAGAACTTCATGTTGTCCAATTCTGTCTGTAATCATACTCGTGATTAACAAATCAATCAATGATTTATTAATCACTCGTATGATTACAGACCGTATCGGACTCCACACGGTCCTTTTAACATTATTAATCACCATAGTTGTTTCGTTACTTTCCGTTTATCATTTTAATTCTAGGCTTGGATCGTCCGATCAAAGATTTAGCGATTAAAGAAAAGAAGCAAATCAAGAATGACCTGAGTGGCAAAGATATTGAAGGTAGGCAGAAGCTCACGCTCATGAGTGACCAAGAGAGAATTTCTCCTTACCATATCAATACAACATCAAGCATAGAAGTGATGAGAACAAAGAAAAATATCAATTCAGGGATTATGAGTTGATCCAATGCCAAATTCTCCAAATTGACCTAATGAGAATTGAATGGCAGACAGTTGGGAGAATTACTAAAGAGATCTTAGGAGTTAAAGGATAAGCTGATATCCGTGTTTTAAAATTTTGGCATTTTCTTAGCAGTAAATCATCACTACTTAAACAAGTTGTGTACAGTGGTGCACGTAGTTTTCCCTTAGAGCTCAAAAACTGCAGCCATTAAAGTGCCAATGACATGCATTTTTTTTACCCAAATATTTAGCTCATCATATGTACAAACCAATTCCAATAGAACAAAAATTTCAAAAAACCTAAAATTCGGTCTTTTCGGGTCCTAAAGCACTCTTATTCAGTCTAACAGTGTCCCACGGGTAACAAATTAGCGGCTGATGACGTAGAAAACTTTGAAAACTCTCAGTTGACACTCGCAAACTCTCACATCTCTTGTAATATTGTATCAGTCAGCGTTGAAATACTCTTGAAATAATGTCCGATAGCAATGTATACCTATCCGGCTTCAGCAAGCTTTACTGAGAGTTGTGATACATTCTCCTCAAGAAGTAGAGAAGAAATGAAGTTGTGAGTACGGTACAGCCCTACAATGGAGAACCACGCTGCATCAAACGAAGACGGTTCTCACCTGCGGTGTTTAGGTCAAGATTAGAATTAAAAATTCCCGTTTCTGAATGTTCAGTTTGCTGCGTTCGTGTTTTGTTTTCTCTGGCGAAATCTATGTTAACGTCACAGCTACGTAACATGATCGTTTTGGCCGCGCGCTTATTGGGAACACTTTTTGGTCATTAAATCTTACTTTCAATGCACAAAAAATGGTCAGAAAGAACTCGCTAGGCGCTAAGGTTGATTATGTCTAATTTTCAATACAGCTATAAACCAGAAAATGCAAAAAAAAAACCGTGTCATAGGCACTTTAAGAGGTTTCATTCAAACAGTTTTCCGTATTGTTCTTAATTTAGGTTATTTTTACTGGCAAAGTGTTGCGGAAGAACTTGGTTTCAAAGATGAGTCCAGAGGATGGGAAGGTGCGCAAAATCCAATTGAAAACCTTCTCAAGGCATTTGGCGAAAAAGAAGGGAGCACCATCAGAGGATTGATAGAAGCTACCAGGAGAGCTGAGCTGACGCACTGTGCTAGTCAATGGGAACGTAAATTTGATACGACTCCAAGAAAAGATACAACTGATTCTGCCCATACAGCTCTGGTACACGGCACAAAAACCCTTGTTCATCGTTAGTTTTCCGAAATGGTGAAAGACTGAAAAATTCGACATCATACTAATGTTTTCTGATATCTGAAAACGGATGGCAAATTTACCGTTCACCCTCGGTAAAACTCAAGAAAAACACGAAGTTCATCACATGTTACCCTGCACCAGGAAAATGCCAATGAACAGCCTGTTTTCTTGAAAGTTTTTCTGTAGTTTTCCTGTGTGCGCGAACGCTTCATTTTCCACGTGTTTTCCCACAGAATTACTAACGGTGAATGCCATGAAAACATGATGTTTTTCTATTGTTTTCCTGCTCCACGAAAACGCTAGTGTACAGCTTGTTTTCCTGAACGTTTTTCCATAGTTTTCCCGGGCGCGCGAACGCTGCATTTTCCAAGCGTTTTCCCACAGAGTTATCAACGGTGAATGCAATGAAAACATGATGTTTGTTGATTGTTTTCCTGCTCCACGAAAACGCTAGTGTACAGCTAGTTTTCCTGAACGTTTTTCTATAGTTTTCCTAAGCGCGCGAACGTTGCATTTTCCAAGCATTTTCCCCACAGAATTACTAACGGTGAATGCCATGAAAACGTGTTGCTCGTCCATTGTTTTCCTGCTCTATGGAAACAGTAGTAAACAGCTTGCATTGTTTTTTTGTAGTTTTCGTGAGCGTACGAGCGCTGAATTCTCCAAGTGTTTTCACACACAATTATTAATGGTGAACGTAAAGAAAACATGATGTTCGTCCATTATATTCTTGCTCCATGGAAACGCAAATGAACAGTTTGTTTTCTGGAACGCCTTGAAAACAACATGTTCATCGATCGTGATCATTATTTCCTGCTCTTGATCCTGCCCCATGAAAACGCCAGTGAATAGCTTGTTTAATATTCAGAGTATTGACAACGATTGGGTCATTTGAGCCGTTTGGGTCATTTGAGGCAGTTGAGCTTATTGGGTCATTTATGTGTATTGGGTCATTTGAGACAGTTGGGTCACTGGAACTGATCATGATTAGCTCATTTGAGGCACTTGGGCCACTGGAGCCAATTGGGTCATTTGAGGCAATACAGTTATCTCAGCTGGTTGGGTCATTTTGGCAGTTGGCTCATTGGAACTGATCGAGTTATTTGAGGCAGTTGGGTCACTGGAGCTGATTAGCTCATTTGAGGCAGTTGGGCGACTGGAGCTAATTAGGTCATTTGAGACAATTCAGTTATCTGATCTGGTTGGGTCATTTTGAGGCAGTTGGCTCATTGGAACTGATAAGGTCATTTTAGGCACTTCAGTTATTTGAGCTGATTGGGTCATTTGAGGAAGTTGGCTCATTGGAACTGAGAAGCTCATTTGAGGCAGTTGGGCCTCTGGAACCAATTAGGTCATTTGAGGCAATTCAGTTATTTGAGCTGGTTGGGTCATTTTGGCAACAGCAACAACAACAACTTTATTTTTTCACCCCAAAATATACAATATGCAGTTAGCTAATTGGGACTGATTGGGTCATTTGAGGCAATTCAGTCATTTGAGCTGATTGGGTCATTTGAGGAAGTTGGCTAATTGGAACTGATTAGCTCATTTGAAGCAATTGGGCCACTGGAGCTAATTGGGTCATTTGAGGCAATTTAGCTATCTGAGCTGTTTGGGTCATTTGAGGCAGTTGGCTCATTGGAACTGACAAGGTCATTTGAAGCAATTCAGTAATTTGAGCTGATTGGGTCATTTTGGCAGTTGGCTCATTGGAACTGATTGGGTCATTTGATGCAATTCAGTCATTTGAGCCGATTGGGTCATTTGAGGCTGTTGGGTCTCTGGAACTGACTAGCTCATTTGAGGCAGTTGGGCCACTGGAGCCAATTGGGTCATTTGAGGCAATTCAGTTATCTGAGGTGGTCGGGTCATCTGAGTTAGTTGGGTCACTGGAACCCACTAGGTCATTTGAGGCAATTCGGTTATTTGAGCTGATTGGGTCATTTGAGGAAGTTGGCTGATTGGAACTGATAAGCTGACTTGAAGCAGTTCGGTCATTTGAGCTGATTGGGTTATTTGAGGCAGTTGGGTCACTGGAACTGATTAGCTCATTTAAGGCAGTTGGGCCACTGGAACCAATTGGGTCATTTGAGGCAATTAGTCACCTGAGGTGGTTAGGTCATTTGGGGTAATTGGGTCACTGGAACCAATTGGGTCATTTGAGGCAATTCAGTCATCTGACCTAGTTGGGTCATTTGAGGCACTTAGGTCACTGAAACTGATTGGGTCGTTTGAGGCAATTCAGTCATTTGAGCTGATTGGGTCATTTGAGGCTGTTGGGTAACTGGAACAGATTGGACCATTAGAGGCAATTTAGTTCTCTGAGCTGGTTTGGTCATTTGAAGCAGCGAGGTCACTGCAACCAATTTGGTCACTTGAGGCAACTCAGTCATTTGAGCTGGTTGGGTCAATGTAACTGATTGGGTGCAATTCAGTCATTTGAGCTGGTTGGGTTATTGGAACTGATTGGGTCATTTGAAGCAATTCAGTCATTTTAGCTGATTGGGTCATTTGAGGCAGTTGTGTCTGATTAGATTAAATAATTAGATAATTTGTGTCTGTTAGATCATTCATGTCTAGTGGGCCACAAGTGTCGGTTGTTTGTTTCTGTTGCATCATTTGAGTCTGTCGGATTATTTGTGCCTTTTAGATAATTTTGTGTCTGTTGGATCATTTTGTCTATTGGATCATTTGTGTCTCTTTGATCATTTGTGTCTCTTTGATCATTTGTGTCTCTTGGATCATTTGTCTCTTGGATCATTTGTGTTTGTAGGTCATTTTTTCCAGTGCTCCATTGTAAACAATGTATTTTGCACCAATTGGGTCATATGTCCAGTTTGGTATTACTGGTCCCATGGCTCATTTGTGCCAGTTTGGTAATTTGTTGTTAATGGGTAGTTACATCAGAAATAGAATTATTATATTGATCATTGAAACATTATCATACTTCATTTTGCTGAGTCTCTCTATGCTTAGCATATACAAAATACAACAACATGGAAGACATAATCATTATATTTTATTGTTGCATTTCGATAACTTGTATGACAGTAATTTTTAAACTCAAAATAAAAAAAATCAGTGCAATGAAGCCTTCTATCAGTCTAACTTGTTACTCCAAGAACATTTTCTTGTTTGTAAACTTTTTCCCCTAAAGAACAGTTGGATTTAATTCTCTGAACTGGCATGAAACAAGCTGGGCCAAACAGATCAAATGAGTTACACCAGATTTCCACTGGCACTCCATGTGAAAAACGTTCCGGATGAACTGAGTACCAATTTACTCTTGCAAAGTAAAACATGTATCGCTGCTCTGGCAAATATGATTCTGCTAATTTAACCTTAATACGGTGACGAAAAAAAATGAAATAACTTGTCCTGGTCTGACATCATTACATCCACTGCTACAAGCTAACCGTCCTTCATGACCTGCCCAGTTTGCTAGAACAAATGAATTCCTTGTGGTCTGGCTTTGCGATGATCCATACACCACAGATCCAACTTTGAGCGATTTAAATTCTGCAATGGTGTGTGGCATTTCAAGGAAGGTACCCTCACCAAGTCCTAAGAGTTCTTTATATACTGACTCTAGTGCAGTTAAATCATCAGTGTCTAATGTTTCATCTCTAAATGTTGACATTTCAACTATATCATCACTTGCAGTCCAATCACACAAATGCAAGTCTTTGATGGATATCTCCCTGTGCTGTCGAAGACTGAGGAACTGTTTAATTGGCTCTTGTGTGTCCTTTACAGACCCTGAACTGTGTGAGCCCTCAAAAACTCCAAGAAAGTCTCCTGAAACATTTCTGGGTACTCAAAGTCCTTAACTTTGGTTTGTGACAAAAAATTTTCGCATCAACTGAATTTCAATAGAGCGATTGTTCGTATGAAAAGATCCCAGGATACCATTAAATCTTTCAAAACTGAAGCACCAGAAAGAATGAAAGGGGCCATAATCTAGAAGGCACTCTTTAAGGTGTCCATGTAGATGCATATTTGGAGTAACCAGATCCTTCCCACATAGTTCTTCAAATGTGTGACAAAATTCCATTAAATGTCTGTCCCCTTGCTCAATATCATCATCAGTAAGAATTTTCTTTCCAAGAGTTTTACAGGCAAGGACAAAATGACGCCAACACTCAAGGTGGTTTTCAGGAGAACTCCTTTTAAAGCAAACAATGAATAAACTACTGTCCAGTTCTTCCATTGATCAGCAGTAAATCCTGAAAAACTGTTGGCAATCTTTCCAGGTATGCGTCCAATATCTTGAGGCACTGTCATCCCATCGACCAGTTCTTGGATCCTTTGAAAGTCCTCATCAGATATGAAATCATTTTTTTCATTAAGCCACACATTTTTCATGATGTGTTTGGCTGTTCCCAGATAAAGATTGTGCATGGGGTCCACAACAAAGTAGCGAATACAGTCAAAATAGTCTAGTTCTTGCAGAACTGAATACCTAGCACCTAACTGAGAACACAGTTTTTGTTGTGCAGTAGGGCTGGTTTCATCCATTGTTCTTTTTGCAGAACACTTATGCTCAGAGGATGTTCTGGGGCTCCAGTTTTCTCGATCAAAACCACTAAAATCGAGGCCATCTCTAGAACCAAAAGATTTCTTACAGCGAGAACACCCTTGTGATGACATGTGACTTAGAAATCCCCCTATTTTTCTTGTGGCTGGAATGTCTGAGGAGACACAAATGAGTCCAACCTTTATTGGTCGTTTAAAAAAACTACCATGAACTGAGAATCGTTCCTTACAAGCCCACAAAGCTTGTAACTCTCTCTCACAAGCGGTTCAAGGAAAGTGTTGGCAGTTAGCTTTGGCTCTGAAGGTCCAGGCAGAATTCCAGTTACTATGATGTTCTCAAGTCTATATCTTTCATGACGAGGTAAATTAAGTAGAACAAGATACACAACTCCAACTGATCCTGGTGAATGCTTATGAGGTCTGAACCAATCTACATTAAGCATGAAAGCTAAGCTGTTCGAGTTTGAAAGAAACCCAGTTGAAGACAGCTCCCTCCAAACATTCCCTTGGTAGATATCTGTCTTAACATTTGCAGAGGAAACCTGATTTCTCCATTCTTGACATTTGTTCCACAGTCCAGGTCTAGCCAGAAGACGCTGCAAAGACTTCACAATCGAGTTATATGGATACACCATTCTTGGATAAAGAAATGTTTTTGTTCCATTCTGAACAGTCTTTAGTAGTATTTCATCACAAGGACCTAAGGAAAAGAACTTCAAAAGTTATACAAACCCAGCTCATGTGGAAAACCTGTAATTTAATATAGAAATAAAAAATTCTTTCTTACTGAGTACTCATTGCATACTCATTGAACTTGTTCACTTCTAGAAAACCCTCTCCAAGATGATGAGAAAAGTCCACAGTTTTTCTAATAAGCAAAATAATCTTCATTTTAAGAATGCAGCAACTCACCAGTTTTGCTCCCCCAATATCTTTGATGTAGTATATAAGAAAACAAGTGCAAGGGTTTGATTGTGGCATCCAAATGTTGAGAAACATGAAATGAAAGCACAAGGCTGCTGGTTTAATTTGTTTTGAGATGTTTGGATGCCACAACCAAACCTGAACAAGAGCCTTTAGCTTGCTTCACAAACTGCCTATTTCAATCATCACCTAAATTGTCACATTATTGTTATGCTCTTTTCGTTGGTTGCATAATTTTGGACATTTTATCAGCAACTATCCATCTGTTGTCTCTTTCGGGTTTCTTTTGGGGATTCAAAGTGTGTGCTAAATTTATGGTAGTTTTGCTCATTTAGTTTATAGCTCTATGGTTAGTTGGAGCTTAATTATGGCAGAAAGTAATGCAGTTAACCGTTTTCACATCCCGAAAAGGGGTGAAGAGCAAGGTAAACTGCTAAAGGAAAGTTTTCCCTAATGTAGTGTAATTTTCTTATTTGCCTTACACATACACATAAATTTAGATATTCAGTAGAAACTTATATCCAGATCACTGATGATCTGGATGTGTTTTTATTGGATATCTGGATTCATGCATGTGACGAAATACAGATATACATATTTATCAAGTATCTAGTTTTATGCATGTGACAAAATACTTTCCACTCATTGGCCAATAACCTCAGAATAATTAATGAGTTTGAGGAGGAATACATCACATGCACATAAAATGAACTGACTGCTATGTAGTTTCTTACCTCTGCGATTCCTGTGTGGGTGTCTTGACCATGGTACAAACTTACATCGAGCTGAAACTTGCCTTCCACAACGGTTCTGGATGCAGTCTTTGTAATCATACAGGTTTTTGCACTTTGGGCACACAACATATTTAATAAATTCATCATTTCCTAGTAGCCCAAGGTTCTTCCTTAACTTGTAAAGCGTACTTGGCAAACGTTTTGAAAGTCTAGAAATTATACCATTCTCATCAAAAGTTCCAAGAAGCCCCAAGAAACGACTAAGAAATTTGAGTAGCATTTCAACAGCTGAGTCTGTCACAAAGAAAGCTGACTGCCAGGATACTAGAAACAATAACAACCAAAATACAAGAATACCGCATCTGTCGGAGATTGAGGGTGAATATTCATCGGCATTCTCAGTTGATTGATTCTGCTCAAAATCCTCTTCAGAGTCTTGAGCATTTGGAAAACCAGACCAGTCTTCGTTCACAGAATCTTCCCTGACATTTCTACCACTTTCATATGCTTCGATCTCTTCATCGTCGTCCTCAAAGTAAGACAGATCTTCTTCGCTAAAACGTTTCCTTAATCGGTCCTTGAGTCTTCTTCTAAGATCTGGAGACAAAGGGCAATCGATGAGTTCCGCCTCAGTTCCATCGATGCCCTCATCTACCTCATGGCAGTTGATCGGCGACTCTGTCTCAAGGCCATCGCCATTGCATAAGTTGCCGTTTGACAAAAGCTGTGGAGCATCATCAGCGTCTCGGTGGATTTCATCGCCAGAACTGTCCGGGCAAACGTGTGTCCTCGCTCCAGAATAGGAGTAACTATTTCCACATCTAGAACAATAAATTCGACGCCTATTCCGCCGATTCAGTTCGCGAGGAAAGCTTCTTTTTGGCATTGTAAGGTGCTCCAATCAGCAAAATAACGAAAAAGGAACTTCGATCCCAAAATACAGGATGAAATCTTGTCAAATACTTAATAAATTTTGTTAATTGTTTAAATTGACCACTAAGAACATTACTTTGATGAAGGATTTTAATTTTTTGCGTCCCTCTTGGCGCCATACATAAGACCGCTGACCATCATGCACGAAATTTTTGACCAATCATATCGATTGTTATGACTGCATACTTCATTGGACCAATCATATTCCTTGTTTTAGTTTGTTCGTGAAGGGAAAACTCACAACAATCATTCCACGTACGACTTGCAAGTCGAGTGAAAGCTGTCTATTTACCTAACTCTTTATCGAGAAATGGCATCTAGCAGAGCCTCAAATGTATCCGAATTTCGCCAAGTCTTGAGTAGACTCAAAGATTTACATGAGAAGCTGGAAAGGTCCGATCAATCTAGTCTTGCAGCTAAATTGTCGGACATAAATGACTCCTTAAGCATTATCGAAGGTAACCAGACTGACTTCTCCGATACAGTCCTGCAAACTTTGGAGAGGATCCATTCTACGATGGTAAATGGCTTTAAAACTATGGAAGACAGGATATCCACGCTAGAAGCCAAACTAACCAGCCATGAGACTGGAAGCTATGATGCAGTGACGCCGCCGAATTCTTCAAGAAAAAGAAAAATCGCACGGCACCCTGATCTTTCGGTAAGATATGTGAATATTTTCCTCTTTGCTATTTCTTTGCGTTGAGAATGTTAACCATAAAATTTATAAGATATATCAAAGGATTACCCGGTAAGAACATGGAAAGTGAAGTCAAAAGACGTTTTCAAATTTCGTGCGCATTTTGTGATTTATATCACACCTTTTGATTGATCAAAGCCGATCCCCGCCATTTTTGACTTGCTGTCGGTTGCGAATTTCTTTTATCATCCGTCCTCTTTCGGTGACGCTAACGTCCCCTTAGTTCAAAGATGTGTTTATGCATGTGAGCGATTGATTTGTTTGCTCTCTCTTAGAAAGAGAGAAGGAATGACAAACTTAAATTTTCTGATGTTTAAAACACTCAGTTAAATTCCTCTTGCATTTATTGATGATCATTCACAGCATTACGTCCGCTCCAAGATGGAACAGTTAGGACTGTCGTGGAACACGGAAAGGAAGTGAGTTCATAGCCAAAGGGGAGTAAAGATACTTGTAACATAGTTTGTGATTGAATAGTTTACAACGGAAGTCCATGTGGAAAGAAAGTGGGAGGTGCAAGTGGTTTGAAGAGCTACGCATTAATAAAATCTCAACCACAAAGGAAAAAAGTAGAATTAAAGTGGTGAGAGCAGAAGTAAAAATCATCGTTTTAGTCCCACGTTTTCTTGATCACTCATGTTAGTCCATGGAAGTTCACTGTAAGAATACCATACTGAGGAATGCTGTGTCATGGCTCCATTTGGGCTATTTGTACCACTTACACCAAAAGAAGAGGTTTCTCATAAACCTAACCATTTGAATAATGAGTTACAGTTTCTATTTGGGGGAACCTATGCTGGAAATGACTTTGAGGTTTTGCAATTTACTTTTATATACACATTATATTCCAACAGGGAGAATGAGCCACCAAACCAAGAAGTTGCCAGAAGACTTCTTAAAGAAGTTCAAGAAGTTGAGCATGTAAAGAATGACTCTCTCTGCACAGAGAGGCGGATATTTGGTATGTTTCCCTTTGTTATTGATTGTTTTAATTGGTCAGGACCTTTAAGTCAACTATTTATCACTTATCGACTCCAAGAAATGGATATCTCACTCAACTTTTGCTTCATTGGGATTGATTTCTTTTAAAGTTAAACCGCAAGAAACCTGCTCTGTTTACATCACCTAAGTTGGCTCACAATGCCTACATGTTGTCTTTTTCAAACAGAGTAAATGATTTTAGCTCTGGTACATTAACTGTATAAAGCTAGTCAAATAATTTCTCGGGTACAGCTTCAGTATTAAACCTTGGTTTCCTGGCCTGACCTCAGAAATATTTAAATTTTCAGATGCTGTCTCTCAAAACTTTGCCTCCAACAAAAGAAAGAGGAGGCAGATGGAAAATGGTACATATGAGCAGTACCAAAGGGAACAGAAGAGGAGGCAAAGAATTAAAAGGGTAAGAGTTAGCTTGCTTCAATGATGTTTCTACACAAAAAGTTAACTGTGGACCATTTCATTCACCTCTTAAACTCTTTCTTTTCCTCTATTTCTCTACCCTATGTGATTGTGGAGATTGCCAGTATTGATGTTTTTCTGCTTGAGCTTAGTTTAATATTGAAAATTGAATGTCATGTTAGTTGTGCAATGAGCCAAGCAGTTTTGGAAATGTCTTTAAGTATTATGAGTTAGAGAGAAACATCTATTTCAAATGATGATGAAACCACAACTATTGTTTATTTAATGAAAGTCTGCTAAGTCTAAAACTTTTCATGTTTTACCCTAGAAACTGGAGAAGAGACTGAGAGTGGTTACTGAGGAAGAAAAGGAGTCAGAATTGTTCGAGGCATTGCATTTGTCAATGATATCCTCAGATGAATCTGATGGCGAGGATGACACCCTGTCCACAAAGCATCTTGTCTGGAGGGCAGAGGAGGTTTCTTCTTTCTTCAAAGAACTGGACTCACGGCATAGGGCAAATATGTCCACCCAACAAAGGAGGCAGTCTGTAAACAGGCAGGTTGGCCTTCCAAGTACCAGAAGCCACAATGAAGTGCCAGAGAAATTGCTCTGGGCCATTAAATTGTAATTATTTTTCTTTTTTTTTTCCATGAATGCTGTTATTGTTTACTAGGCAATTTTGGTTACAGTGAATCCATTAGAGTAAAGCAGTAATTAATGGATGTTCTTGATTTAGATTAGATATGGGATATTTACTTCTAGAAGCCCTGCTATGTTCCTTAAGTTCAACTGCAAAAGTTCTTTTTACACTTGAGGATGGTGTTGAGTAGGATTTTTCAAACTCTAATGTTTGAGCCTAGAAAATTTTTGAGTATTTTTGTGATGTTTATCAAAATTAAGGAAACAGCTCGAAATGTTGAACTGGATGATACATGTAAAAGCTTCTTTTACAACTGCCTGTGTGAGTCCCAATATAATCATCCAAATTTCACATATATGCATTTCAACATTTTCCCAATTTTACATATGATCCACCTCAGGTGGTGAACAGATATTAGGTTTCACTCATTTTTGTGCAAGGTTTGTTTGTGTCATTTAGAAGTCTCATTTTATTGACCAAAATGAAGCAGATTGTATTTGTTTGCCAAGGGTGAGACATACAATTTTGTTGATATTGTAGTAAGAGTGCATTTTTTTGCGCTGATACTTTTAAAATTTTTTTAATGTTAGTTTTCAAGGTTTTCTGTGTTGTGAATATTTGTAAAAATTGTATAATTAAGAACTGATGTAACTAGGTGAATACTACTTTGGTTAATTGGTAATAAAAAGGCTTCAAAAAATTTATGTCAAGGCTCTTATTACTTGCGTCACATACGGGAGGGAATGATTCCAAGTAGTTCAATGGATCATTTGATTTGCGAAGTGGATTCAGCGACTGGTAGAACTTCTTCAAAATCGTTCTAGAGCAAGGGAGCCTGGAGCTAAAGAAATTATGAGCGAGAGAAGTAAATGTAAATATAAATTTCCAAATGGTTGACAGTGTAAAACACCGATGAATATAGGAATACATGCCATTTTCCGCACGATAATCGAACGGTAAATACAAGAAAATGCGTGGGAATAACCGCATTCGGGTGGTGAACCGCCGCTAACAACGCGTTTCCTCAACGCAAACAGCTGCAAACGCTAGAAAACATTGTATTTCAATTTGTTAACCAACCCGTGAACGTTGGACGACACTTGGTTTTCAAGCGTTATCTACGCATTTACTGTCCTAGAAAATGGAAGAAAACGCATTGTCTTCAACGGAAAACGTCTGTGAAAACAATGTTTTGTTACTGAGAAAACACCAGTAAACAACGGAATACAAACTGTTTTCCCGTCTGTTAACCGTACTCTTAACACTAAGAAAACAATCGTTTTCATAGAGTTCACTGTGGAGGAAAACTGCTGGATAATGGAACGAATACTCCAATTTGCCGACTCGAAAACAACGGGAGAACGTTGGATTTTCTTTTCGGAAAATGTCAGAAAATGGGTGAATAATGCTGCGTTTTCAAATATTCACAACTTGTTTTCCGAACGGGTGAACACCACTTTTTTTGCAGTGGTACTGAATGAAATAAATGATAATTTCACTTCTGACATACCTCCAGATCCGGGTAAAGGGAATGGTGCAACTGAATCGGTTTATAAAACACCAGGTAAAGGTGAAATAAATGATAAGGCTGATTCTGTTATTAATATACCCGAGAACACGGTAGAAGAAACTGATGCAAATTATATTGCTGATACAGCTGTATGAACGGCACACCTGCATAAATGAGTAATTTTGTGTTGGACACATACCCATAGCTGTGTTTTATTAGTTATTTTCTAATCAGAAACTGAATTCCACGTTGCCAGGTGCCTGTTCTGTTGGTAACAGATCACGCTTTAGGTCAAAATGCTGTTACAACCAAAATAGAAGATAAATAGTTCGAAGACCACAAAGGTATCTATTTTATAGTAGCATTCCGAGTTAAATACTCCTCCATGACTGGCTGTTACCGACCGTACAGACAGGCGGCAGAAGTCATAGAAATATTGTGTACTTTGTTTTGTCCGTATTGGAGTTCTGTTTTCATTTATTTTTTTTTTTATGATTAATTGTTTTGATTATTGCGAAATTCAGTCTCAGCATTGAGCGGGGGAAGGCTTCTAAAAAGTTAAGCAAAATAAATTTACGTCCTTGAGACTAGTGTCGAACCGCAGCATGGCTTTATTGCCCCAGGGAAGAAGAAGGGAGGGTAGGGGGGGTGGGTGGGGGTGGGGTGGGGGGGTGGGGGGTGGGTGGGGTTAGATGGGGGTGGCGTTAGATGGGGGTGGGGTTAGATGGGGTGGGGTTAGATGGGGGTGGGGTTAGATGGGGGTGGGGTTAGATGGGGGTGGGGGGTTAGATGGGATGGGGGTATAGATAAGGGTTAGGTAAGATTGGGGTGGGGTTAGATGGGGGGGGTGGGGTTAGATGATGGGGGGGTGGGGTTAGATGGGGGTGGGGTTAGATGGGGGGGGTGGGGTTAGATGGGGGTGGGGGTAAGATAAGGGTTAGGTAAGATTGGGGTGGGGTAAGGTGGGGGTGGGGGTAAGGTAAGAGTCACCCAAGTTTTCCAGAAGTTTGAATCGAATTGATAGCTGTTATGACTTTCTTTCACAAATAGTTCTTTTCACAAATAGTTCCATTTAGTTAAATTATTAACTAACTGACAAATACGATAATTTATGCTGCAATTTTAAACAATTGGAAATTTACGATAATTTATGGAAATATTGAGCGACGTACTTTAACAAATAATTCCATTTGATAAATTATGCACAAATTTCAAGTTATTTACTGACTGACAAATGCGATAATTTACGCTGCAATTTTATTTTAACAGCCTCGCAACAATTGGAAATTTACGATAATTTATGAAAATGTCGAGCGACGGCAGCAAAAAGTGTTTGTACATTATTCCTTTTTAAAAAACTTGATGAGAAAAATTTGCTTTTTCGATACTAGAGAAGCATTTATTGTTATCTGTGTGCGATCAGAAATTGTCTTCTTTTTTTTTTTGGTTTGTTATTGTTGTTTTTTACCTTATTTGCTGCTAATGTTTTATTAAAAGGTGGCTAATGCTTGAACAACTCTCTACTTCCTAATCAATTTTATTTTTAATCTGAATTTTTTATATATGTACTTGATAGAAGGAAGCATCTTGACGAAGTTTCTTAATTGTGACGAAATTTTTTAAGTACTTGTGAATTGTCCCAAGATTATTCGTGAATGTTTGGATAACATTTCCTTTGCATAGAAAATTCAATAACAATTAATTCTGTAAGTTAGTGAAATATGATCTGTATATAAATTTGAAGAGACTCAAGTATAGTATCCAGGGAAATTTTTTTTCTTGACGATATTCAAGAATTGGCGATTGGTTAGATCCATCTACTAGCTGAGGTTGATTGTAATTATAATAACCGATATTTATTTTATTGTGGCTGATTACCTTTGGTATAGATTTATTACTGGGATACCTGTGGTGGTCCAGTCATAAAAGGCCTTTGTTTTTTTGTCGTCTTTTTTTTTTTTTTTCCTCCGCCACAAAATGGAAAAATTGCGCAATAGTACCCAGAGGTCATTGGGCCCTCAACACCATGACAACTAACTGTGATCCAATGAGGGTGAAGATGTTCACATGCTGATCACGTGTTATCTTGATGATGATTGACGTTGTCATGCACGGACAGGTCCGGGTCACATGACGAGCACGAGATTTTCTTTTGTCGGTCGTTTTGCATTTCAACGTGTTTGGATTACGATCACCTGAAGCGTTATAGCGCAAATGCTCGAAATACTTACAGACACATAGACAAGTCGTATTGTTCGCGGCCAGTCCACACTAAAAGATGTTATTGAGCAGTAATTTTGGACCGGATTGAGTCGCGAACTATGTATCCGTTGTATTTTCTGGTGATTTCTGCCGTTTTAAGCTTGCTTTACCATCACTGTTATTCACATCATCAACTTTTAAAGTAAAGTTGGTAAAATCGGTACAGACATCACACAAACCAACTCGCGCACAAAATAAGAAGAGTATATTGAAGGCTTGAAATTATATTACGATCGATTTTCATCAAGAAATGGGCCAGGAATTTTCCACAATAGTGCAAATAATCGTGAAGGCTGATCGAGGAAAAGCGATTGCGTGACGCTCGGTAAGCTGTAAGATGACATGTTATTATTTACCAGACGTAAAAACTCTTCAGATTCTCAGTCTGCATTTTGTACCCACTCTGCAGTCTCCAGTCTATATTTTGTATCCGGTCTGCTGTCTGCTTTTTGTACTAACAGGTATCTGTGGCACCAATACAGTTTATTTTTGGTTACATTTATTCGCACAACACACATAATCTACCACAAAATACCTGTGTGTGAGATAATTCGACATTTTCGTTCTTTTCCACGTTAATACTCTTCTTTCCTTTTGTAAGAATGTAGACCACAAGTAATCCACCCACCCTACAAAAAATAACTCTTGCATGCATAGCATGCCTATGTTTTGAAATAGGTGTATGCCCTTAGCCAGACTTGAGCTCACTATTTCAGTATACTAATCCGACACCCGTAGTATCACTACACTTGATTCCAAGGATCCAGTACCATCCAGGTATCCCAGTTACCCTGCTCACAGGGTCTAGTTAAAGATTGGTTTTGGTACTAACCAGCCTGTATTTGATCTGGATCATTCAGAGTGCCACAGACAAGATTTGAAGATGACTTCATGAATCAATTTTAGCCCTGCCTTAATTTTTGTCTTTGACTTAAACTGTTCGACACGATGGAGGTTGCTGCGACTCCAAATTCTGAACAGTTTCCTCAGTTGTTTATGTTCGAATTAATGATTGACTTGATGGGAAAAAACCATAGATTGGAGACAATTGACGGGAAAAAAATTAAGCATAAAACACATCGCTATCGCCCAGCGATTGAACACTGAAGCAAAATTACGACGTTCAGCGAGTTTTCGCCGTGGAAAGTGTGTAATCTCTTCAACTGTCTGTTTCTTATACTCATTCAAGGTGACACCAGAGTAAAAAGCAAGTGTAAGACTCGACATAAAATGAACTCTCTTAACACCGGGCCATAAAGTGCATGGAGTTTCGAAGGTTCCTATGAGGTATAAGAAAACAGCATCTAAAAGATGCATATTTTGGGGTGTAATACCGTGTATAGAGAAAGAAATAAAAAGACAAGGAAAGTGATCACAGTAATCAGCAAGTGTAGGGACATTCTCTCTTTTGACGAGGCGAAGTGTTATTGTTTTGATGCTAGGGTAACCGAGCTGTGCTTGCAGACCATTGTTGTTGACATGAGATTTAATATTGAAAGTTACACCATACGTGAAAAACATAGTCGATTGTTGAGTCCCTCTGGGATATCATTTTGTAAAAATTTTGAAAGCCTTGAGAAGTGAGATACAAACTTCGTACTTATAAGTGTCACTGTAGGGTGCGTGACATGTTTTGTTGAGTGTGTGACTGCGTGCTCATGAACCGCAATGTATGCTGGACATGCATTCTGTAAAGTACGGAGCTTGTGCTTTAAAAAAACGTTTTTGTGGTTTGATTTGAGAGTGTAACATCACCAGAATACAAAGAACGATATAGAAGACTCGATCCACTGAGAACCGCTTCGATTAGGAAGGCCGATAGATGCCAAAGTCTAAAACGCCAACAAGATCAGGCATTGAGATACCTTTTGATTGCTTTCTGACTGCACGCGCCACGAAAATTGAAGCGTGCGTGCTTATCTCACAGAACTCGAAAACAGGAGCTTATCACCTGAGCTCTCGGTCAACAATCAAGAAAGGAAATAGCGCCGACATGAAAGAAAAAAAACAGCCACTTACCTTCAATACTTTGACGATGAATTGTAGATTTTGGCATGAAATTTCTACGCTTTGCCGGAATCTTTGGTCACAAATGCTCATCTCTGAAGTCTGTCCGAGTAGCCATAAAATTGGTTTCTTCCACTCGCCAGCCACTGCACAGCAAAACAATTGTAAATGGGTACAACGCTTCAAGATACCTTGAATTTTTTTTTCAAAATTGAGCCGAATGCTTGTCTTGGTAAGTTTTTCACTCGTAACTCGTACGCTCGGAGCAATATATTGAATTTTGGATGTGACTACAAAAACTGTCTTTGATTACTCACCTGCTTGATTCCAAAACACATGACCAAACTGTTCACAATGCACGTTTTCGCTTGCCGATAGCCTAAAGCTCAAACACACTCGAATGCTCCTCTCAAATTGGACCTCGAACCCTTATAAGTTTCTTAAATTGGAAACTACTGTATTTCTTGTAAATAATCAGGCTGTGCAAACTTTAAGGCGTTGAACTTTCATTCAAGTACGGTCCACTCGGTCGAATAGCGATGTACATGTCATGTGATTCAAGCTTTGACGTTTTGGCCGTCGGAAGTATCACTGACTTCCGGTCGTTTTAATCCAAGAGGAATTTGAGAGTGAAAACTCATTTATCATATAAACTACGGTGTTATACAAGGATTTCCAGCCCTGAGAAAAGCCGTAACAACGCACGAGAAAAAATAGCGTATTTTTCACGTGTGTTTGATATCGCCAATCAGCTGCTGAACGTCACTTGCCTTTCGCGCCACTCGGTCAGGTTGATGAATGAACGGCGAAGCCTTCACCATTTTCAATCCAAGGTCGTTTGTCGGAATTTTTTCGGATTACGGCTACTTAAACACTAATAAAATTGTATCGCTTTGAGACAGTGACGTTCAAACTTTCTTGGAAGGGGAAGAAGACAAAATATGGAAAGAAAAAACGAAAGTTACGTATTCAGTGTCTTTGGTAATTGCGTTTCTCGCAGCCAAGAACGAAAGTCAACAACTGGAAGATTTGCCACAGGAAGACTTTGGTCATGTGACTCAGAAGACTTCTACTGTCGGTAAGGACCAAGTACAAAATTGAGAGTTTTGTATATTGAAAATTAGGTCCCCTGTTGTTTTAGTAATGATGCAATGCATTTTTTCATCTTCAGCCTTAGCGCTAATATCATTTTACGATATTTATTCGGGGATTGTCGATCCTTCAATTTTCATTCGGACAACACTGTTATGTTTATATAATAAACAAAATAATACATGGTTGCTTGTAGATATGAAATTTCTCTTCTCGTGTTCAACTCGACATCTTACTCGTTCTCTGTGCTCACTCGTGAGCTATCGAAGTAAAAACTAGAAGAGAAATTCCATATCTACGCGCGCCCATGTATTATTCTCTATTTATAACTTGGGGAGGGTTGAAAGGTTGTGTCAAGACAAGATTTACCTATGTTCCCCCTAATTGGCAGTCATCTTTTTATTTTTAACCCTTTAACCCAAAGAGTAGCTAACATCTAATATCTCCTTACAATATCATCAATGAATCACGAATTAGTACCACGAGAATAAAGAAAATGACCACCAACTAAAGAAACTCTTGATTGTTAGACAAATTCTCCTTGTCAGCACCTTATTAAATGTATAGAGAACAGTATGGAGAATATGAATACTGATGTTAGGGTGTAAAGGATTAAACAGTCCCTCTTTATACTCTTTTGGCAAGCGACTGACCCACTCTGTTTCCCCTTCCCTGGCGCTAAACATGATGACTGGTCTATTATGGAAAAATTTGTTAATCATACATGAAGATGATAGCAAAAACCAAAAAAAAGAAGGTTTCTCTTATGCTACGGTCTTTCAGTCGCTTGACTTGATAATTGACGCGCTTGTCTTAACGATTGGATCCCACGAACGAGAAAAGTACCAGAAATGACCCCGGTAGAGCCATTTCCGGTGGGTAGGCAATCATGAGTTACGTCAAGTATCGATTAAGTAACGTCTATGTTATCTCAACCAGTCAGTTTTTGTCTCGTGCCGGCGCTAATATTGACACGAACCATAAAAACAAACATGATCATGTTTTTAGGATAAGTTCCCACAAATAGCTCGATCGTACAAGTATTTTTTGTTTTGTTTTTTTTTTGTTTATTTTCATGGGCTGATTCATTTATATGCATTATGTTTGAAATTAGCTGTTAGTTAGACCTTTGTATGTACATTGTGTATACTTTCCACTATGACACTGAGGAAGGGTGAGCAATTTTATCTCACTTTTGTTTTTACATTGTTTGAATTACAATTTCGATTCTTCATTCTATGCGATTTCTATAAATCAAGGTGTTCGATTCCGAACTAGGCTACTCAAGAACTTCAGCAAAATTTCCTTTTAAAAAATACATTTTACATTGAGCTTTACGTTTCAACAAAGCTAAGAAATATTTAAAAAAGTATTTGTAAGAATTTTCTTTCCAACTACTACCACTAGATCGATAAAATGTTTTGACTACCTACAATTTACTTTTTAATCGTCAACAACAGTTTAAGTGAGGTATGGAAATCAAACGGCTCATTAAAATTCGGCACGTTGCTGGAATGGACCCGCAGTTAGAAGACTTCCACGACCCGTTGTCCTGTTCAAAAACAGTAATCAGCACAACTATTTTTACGTTTCTCTAACTACGGGCAGAGAAAATCATATTCACAGAGGGGAGGTTTATATCAGTTATGAGAACTTTTTGATAAAGCCCCTTCAACGTAGAGATTGTCCTGTAATGGTTTTCCCTCCTTTTATTTCAACTTGACGAGAGAAAGATAGTTTCTTTCTTTTCTCTTTTCATTCAAGGGATTAGGTCATAATTAATTCTCATAGTACTTGTGATACCTTAGGTGTCTTTTCTCGTATCTTTTTCTCCAAGGTTTACATTTATTTTGTACTGACTCCAGAGTGACTTCGCACTGGGTTTAATCAAGCTGAGGAAGAAATTGATTCGATAGAACCGATGTTCAATTTTTTGGGCATTCTTTACTAGGAAAAGTAGAATGGGTGCGTTTGGACACTTCTATCAATAGTTAAAATACACTTTTCAAGCAGACAGATAACGAGGAGAACAAAAAATGCGTAGTAAACTGGTTATGGATCGATTACACACCAAAACCGTACAGCTAAAATAAGTCGAAATATAGCATGGCAGATGAAGAGAAGTATTTGAACCTTGGGGTTAAAGCAATTTTTTTTCTTTATTTTCTGTTTGATAGTTATCAAAAGAGAAGAAGGAGAAAAAAACTTTCCAAACTTTTAGGCCCCACCTACCAAATCCCCCTTCTTGCTGATTTCTGATACCAAAACAGCAACCACGAAAATAGCGCTAGCAAATTGTGTGGTTATCATGACAATTATGATCAATCAATTACTTGTAGGCATCTGAACCGGACGGAATCTCATAGAAAGGTAATACAATTTTAAAAGAAATAGATCTGACTGAGCTCTCCCCTCAGATATTTATTCAAAATGTTTCTTCGACATTCTACAATCCGTTACACTAAACTTCGTACCCAACAACCCCTGATACTTTAGGAACTATGGCATGTTAAGTCTAAGATTGTGCTCGTTTGATCGAAGCAAACTAGTGTGACTTTTGTCTGAGGCCGATTCCACAAGGGGATTTGGAATTTTTCCTTTGTCCCACGCTCGTGACAAGACGAAAAACTTCTTTCTCATTGTACATGATTAAGTCTTACAACATCGGTCAAGGACACGTCACACAAGTGGTTAAAAAAAAATGTGAGGTCTTGCAGCACATAACAAATCAAGGCTCACAAGACTCGCATGATAATCTCAACATTTTAACATTTCAAATTTTAGTAGTTCATAACAGTATGTTCAATCATATCAGCAAGATTTTGATAGAACGCCATGCCGTAAAAACTAGACAAGTCATCTTGTTATTTATTTTCTATTTATGATAACAGAATGAGACCAGGAGAATTTCCCCCCCTCCGCCCCCCGCACTAAAAACGTTTTTCAGGTAGACGGGGGAAAGGCGGAGCGATGAAAATTTGTGAGGGGGGAGGGGAAGGGAGGGAAGAAGGCAAAGTATCGGAATAAAGGGAGGAGCGTCTCATAACGCCAGATAGGCAAGTCACATAATAATTTGGGGCAAATATGAAGCATATCATACATATTCCATCGTTTTAAGTTGTAGATCATCGTGTCTTTTTCCGGATAAACCTTGATACTGGCCAGAAAAAGTCGCCTTACAAATCTTCTTGACTTTTTTCTTCAGATCATGTTTCCTCAGAGTGTAGATTAATGGATTAGATATTGAGGTACAGAGGCGAAGATAGTAAATCGTAGTTACAATTTGGTTTGGCACTTGCCCCTGATGGCTCTGTTGTAAAATTTCCATGATAAAATACGGCAGCCAGAAAAGAATGTACAGGACTAGAAGCAGAACACAAGTCAACACAAATCTTCTTTGTCTTTTCTGCATCTTTTGTTCATATTTCATGCATTGTGATGGCATGTTTTCACGTGCAATTCTCATGCTTTGTTTGCGAAGCAACAACAGCATGCGCACGTCGAGAACAATCATGACAACAAATGGAATCAAGAAAAACGCGATGATATTGAACAAAAAGAGAATTGTCTCTCGCTGTTTTTCCTGGGCGAGGTATTCCTCTGCTTCGCGGATGTTTAGGTTCAAAGTCCAGCAAAGGCGAATCAAGGAAGTAAGACTGAGGAACCATGTGATACCAAGCACTGTCATGACCCTTGAGCGGTTAACAATATCTCGGTAACGTAACGCCCACATGATATAAATGAAACGATCGCAGGTCATTACAGTGATATGAAGTACTGTGCACTGGGCTGTAAATGTGAAAAAGGTGTAGGAGATAACACAGAGAGAAGATATCATCGTGGAACTACATACCACAAGGATTGGAATACCAACCAGGCCTACCAGGAAGTCTGAAACAGCTAAACTGGCGAGGACAATGTTACTTGTTGTTCGCAAGGATGAGTTAGATCCGATGAGCAGAATAACACCACCGTTTATCGCAAGTATGAATACCATGAATACCAGGACTGGGATTGCTAACATGGGAAAACCATATTCAGCAGCTTCCGAGTCTGGTGCTGGCGTTGAGTTATAAGACACGGTCGTATTTCCTTTGTGGTCAATCTGATAAATCATGATATCCAGTATATATCTTGTCAGGATGTTCAGTCAAGAAGTACCTTTTTCAGTGGTTTTCAGATATTTCGTGTCCACCTAATGAGACTGTCTCTGAAAGTAAAACGCACATTTGGTTCAATTGAACTGGAAAAAGATATTCAACGAATAAACGCATTTTAATTTTCAGAATTTCGAGCTTCCTGAGCTCTATACTGGCCCACTCACTAAATCAATAAGAAGTGAAGTTCTAAATTCAATTTAAGTTGGATTTTTTCCAATCCTGACTGGAGCCTTAATTTTCAATGTTTCGAACTGCTCCCAAACTACGGGTAACGTATGTTAGAAGAGCAGACGCGCGCAGCGGTCATAACAGCCTTTGCAAGTGAATATGGTTTATCGGGTCGCGAACCAACAGTTAATCGCCAAATTATAGTGTGATAAAAGTCCGAGTATAGACCTGTTGCAAAATTAAAGCTCATTTAAAACAATTAGCATTCTTAATTAGTATTTTCACGTTCTCTGTTAGTTTGGGTCACTTTGCATTTCAAAGGCCACGAACACGCTCGAGAGATCAGCTATTAAGATCTTCCAGCCGTGATGTCAGTCTGTCAACCATCAAATTTTTATCTGTCCTTTGTCTCTCTGTTAGATAATTTGGTTTTAATGACTGAGTTTTTAATACAAATTTGCCACCGTAAAGAGTTTCTAATTAAAGCCGACGTTTTGAGCGTTAGCACTTAGTCAGAGCCTCCCTCCTCTACATTTCCATGCCTACGCTTAAGAGTACACCGAAACTTATTTAAAGAATGAAACGAAAAAACTAATGCATCTTCTGCCCAACTTGAGGCAACATTATTGGCAATCGTGTGTAGAGCACAATACAACATGTCATTGTATGTTGACAAATTTCGATAGCGGACTAATCAGTTAACTAAGCTGCCTGTTCGCGGACAGAATACATTAAAAATTTGTTCTTGGCTTCAAATAGTCAAGGAGAAAATCATAAAGATATCCTCAGTATCATTGATTGAAACTGAAAAAAAAAAAGGAGACATTTGATAATTTCAGATAACCGATAGTTTTTAACAGGTACTGCGCAACGACAACGGTGACACGTTTAAAATTGCAACTTGGAAAATCTCACATTTCTCTGCGATCTCTTTCTGGTTCATAAAAAATAAACTGGTCTCCCTTTCTACGATTCATGATAATTATATTCAAAAACAAGAAAGATGTTGGATTTTTATAGAGAAAACAAGTTTAGATTGTGCAACAGTTTTCATCAATTGCGACTACAAAATAGTAAAAAAAATATTTATATCAATAATAAACGCAGTTGCTGTGAAGATTATGAACTAAAGTATAAGAAATGCCCCCAGGATTAGACTTACTGCGTATTTGTTGTGCCAGGCTAACAATTTGAAGTTCAAACTTCACGAAGTAAAAATGTGAGAGAAACTTTCTGGGCTTATAGCCAGAAGCAGCGAATGAAAACCCAACTCGAACTTCCGCCTAGCAAAACCAAATTATAAGCGGTCAGCAATTGCACCGCGCCTCTCTGAAAACAACTCACCATCTAATCAGTGGAAAAACAAACACACCTCTGTCACCTAGTCATCTCATTTCTAGCGTTGTATCAACATTCTCGTATTGTGTTAATTAATGTTTATTTTAAATCATTTTTAAACATGCGGATAAGTGTAGTTCTTTATAGTACTAATTGGCTGCAGACTCAAGCGCTGACATGCAAATCCGGCGAATACAATATCTGGCAAGTAAGGCGTTGAAAACCAATAAAGTTATCGAAGACTTTGTAGCAAAAAAAAATCTCTCTATTCATAAACCAAGTGGAGATATTGCCACATCTTCTTCGTCTCATCTAAGTATGCTTGACACTGCTGATCCAATAAGAAATGCAGGACGCATGAATGGTTATCATGATAAACCCTGGTACTAAGTACATCGTGCAACACGCAAAGGAGTTCTTCCGATTCTACGTAAATCAGCTTTATAAGGGACTTAGTTTTTCTTTGTTCTACGCCTAACGATTATAAATACCTTTAAAAACATCTCCACTGGCGTTTCAATTATTCATTCAAACCTCCATTATATCCGGACCTCGATGTCTAGACTTTTCGATTATCCGGAGTTGCCTCGCTGGTCCCATTATCTATGAATATTTACATTCACATTTTCAATTATCCGGTTTCTCAGTTATCCGGATTACACAGTCCAGTTTTCCTAGGTCCGGATAATCAAGGTTCGGCCGTATTAGTATTTATAATGCCGATGCAAGTAGTGAACATTTCTGACAAGCAAAATTGAAACACCCGCTTACGAATTGGAAGATCCTCTATCGCACGAAACGACAACAGAAGGAGCACAAATGTATAGATGCTTGAAAATTTAATAACTGATCGGTCAGTGGTTGATAGACGTCGCGTCACTTCTACATTATCTGCAATTTGCTCATGTTTCTTATTAATTGAACGATACATTTCTAGCTGTCAGTATTGCGAAACTAATGAAATAATATCATTTCCATCTGCTTTTACATGTCAGGTGTCTGCTTTGAATCAGAAAGGTTTGAGGTTCTGAGCAGCAGGTTCTTACTATGAGACTGAGCTATGATTTCCCATCCAGGGTCGTTTTTAAACGAATTTCGATCATTTTAGCCGAACAAAAAGACTTAGGACGTAGGTTAAACTCCGATTTTCTTACGTTACTGATGTCTACAAAAAATTACTAGGAAAAACTTTGCGGTTCCTTTTATTTATAATTCTTCTGGAGTCGCTCTCTTACGAAGAAATGAAAATGTCAAGCTTAAAAATAGATCTATTGGCATTTCATCACAAATGCTGCAATCTGATTGCATTGGTTAAGCTTCTTCTTATCATACAGATAGTGAAAGAGTAAGGCGAGCAACCTAACAGTGCTAAGTTTTAAACAAAGAAAAATAAATGGAAAAAAAAAACCGCTGTCGTTTTACCAAGTTCAGATTTTTTTAGATTTACATTAAAATAATTAGATTATTCGCTCTCGCTGTCGATGCGTGATAGTAAATTCGGGCTCAATTCGTCATCACCAACTATCACGAGGTAAAAATCTCGAGGTCATATTCTAACTGGTAAATGGATAGTGACTGAGACTAAGCAAAACGTTAAGAGCTATTTCCGTTACTCTATATCAGCAATGTATATATGATTTTGTGAGCTTGAAACTCACTGAATTTCATATTTATATAACGATTATTAGACACCCTTTAGGTTTCCTTTCAGTGCTGTGTTCCGATTTCTCGTTCATTCCACACTCAGCTGTTCCGTGAGCCCATTTATCATTGAACTACTGATATGGGTTTGTTTCATAATCGTTTATATGAAACGGGAAATACGTTCAGACGGGTACGTTGCGAACTTAATTGGAAAACTCACAGCTACAGATCAAACACTAGGTGAAAGCTTTTCCTCGTACCAAAATGGAGTGCTACATTAGGGTACATGCACAGATTAAAAAAAGTGGGTGAATGAATCAAAGGAAAGCCACTGACTATTGTTCAGAATAAAAGGGTTTTAAAATGACAATTTTGATAGATTCGGCTAAAATTTCTCATTTGTTAGCTCTTTTAATTCTTGTTATGATATAGAAACACTATAACGAACGATCAATTTCCTTTCGCTTTTTCTGCCTAACAACCACCGTCGTTTTATCGTAAGGCGTACTGATACATTTAATAGAGACTTCGTTATGTTCGCTATTCCAGACGAGCCAAGTACGTCTTAAATTGCTTCAGTGCTTCAGCAGCCTCAAAATTATTTACTTTTGTACCGTTACATCCGCTCGAAATGTACATCAGTATCAGCCGAAAACAGCATCTTGTTCACTTACCAAATCAAAGAGTTCCTACGTCCTCCAAAATCACCATGCAACAATACTTTAAAATGAAGAGGCTTCTGCAACAACTTCAAGCGAAATGTTTCAAGATAAAATGCTACGGTAGAACTGAGTGAATTGGCTCTTGCAATTCCTTTCCTTATCTCGATACTAATTTTTGCGATAACCTGCTAAACAACCAGGTAATATTCGGACTGATTCAGCCTAGAACATAACCTATTGCGGTAAACGCGTTATACAACCAAATGGAAATGAACCCTGCCCTGGAAGTCTTTTAAAGACACGCGTAATATGTACACACCTGGCTAATCGCGGTAACTTAATATAATCTCTCTTTTTTCTCTTCACCGACTTCGACTTGTCGCTCCCTTTTTAATTAAAAAAAACTCCATAGTTTTACGATATTGCCCGACCGGGTTTTTTTTTAGATGCATAACTCAAGGGAAAGTCATGTAAAGTGACCATTTAAACACGGTCTCATGTATTGGCAAGAAAATTCCAAAATGACGACGTATTGGTCGTGGAATTGAAAATATTTTCCAATTTTTCCAGCCCGTTAGTTCCCATGGAGGAAATAAGACACTTCATTCTCCGAGACTTTGAGGTTTAATTGAACTAAGGAAGTAAGAAATTAGCTACTCTTGGTGAAATGTCAAACTCAAACAGGTCACGGTCTTTCACTGATGTTTGGCGAGTGATATTAAACGGTTTTCCGGTGTATCTGAGAAGTGATTGATAAATATTTGCCCTGTATGGTCGTATCGGTTAATTCATCAGCGTTTTTTTTTTTTTTTTTTTTTTTTTTTCTGAAGTGGATAAGAGTACCTCCTCATGTTCGAAAAAGACATATCAAAGATCAGTTGTAGATGTTTGGTTCTTCGGTTGATTTTGTTGTTTTTGCGTTATTGTTAAACTAAATGATGTGTTAGCTATCGTTGCTATCTAGATTTTCCCAGGCAAGTCACTGGAGCAAATCTAATCCAAGTTACTCGGAGTATGCAGCCGGAAGACAAAATCTAAAATAGTTTAATTAATTACTCTACATCACCTCGACTTATCGCATTCTGCCAAAGATCAGGTGCCTGGCTGTGGCACACAAGGCAGACGAAAATTACTCAGGTCTTATG